CTTCGTACACATGTGTGCATTTATGCCTCTGGCAAGCACACCCATAAAATCGGGGTTGCCAAAAAAAAAAAATGCGCAGAGGCTAATCCAGAAGAGCAAATGGAAGCTTGTTGTTGTAAGCCCAGTTCCTGAGATGGCATAACTCGGAGGGGCCTGCTTGCTGCAGAGCCGAGAGCAAATTCGGAATGAAAGTCAAGACTTATGAATTGCTAACAAAGTGGATGAAAGCCAGAATTCACATAACTGCCTCTATTCAGCATATTTTTTGTTTAAAAAAATGAGCGATGAGCTGAAACAATGGGTTGGTATATGAAGCAATGGATGCTTGAATCAGAAATGGTGAAAAATTAAATCTCCCTTCGGACCACACCGGTCCAAGCGGAATACAGAATAACAGAGTTGGAAGGGACCTTGGAGGTCCTCTAGTCCAACTCCCTGCTCAAGTAGTGTGATATGCAAGAATATGTAAGAATTACTAGAGAAATCTAGGTATTCACCAAGAGAAAAACAGGACAAAGAAACAGATGTTACCCTACAATAATAATAGGGGTGTTGTGTAGCTGTTTACATAGTTGGATAGATTGTGAACCCAGGAAAGGGGCAGAGACTGTATATCTGAACCTGTACATAAACCCCAGCCTTCCTGGGAAGAATTCCCTTTGGCAAAAGCTTCGTAATAAAGCTCTTATATATTGTTCATGCATCTCCAGTCTGAACACCCGAATGGTTGATTTTTATCACAAGTAGAAAACATTACCCCATGCCGGTCAAATGGTTGTCCAGTCTCTTCTTAAAAACCTCCAGTACTGGATCACCCTCTCTTCTTAGACACTGCACAGCTTGTGTAGGATGTTGCGTGGGATGCTCTTCACACTTGTACCACTAACAAAGAGAAGGTTGTTTTGCATGTTCTGCAACTCAAGCATGGATATGTGAGGATGTGACATGGGCAGAGGGAGGTTTTTAGGAGATCCAGCAACTACTGTGGAGACATACCTGTTGGTATCACCGCTAGTTGACCATCTGGGTGCCACGATCAAAGAGCAGGGGCAACCTGATCAAAAGACTGAACAGGTGATCAGGTACAATTTATCTGATCCCAAAGTTTGTCTGGTTACATTTTGACCAAAAATACTGTCCTTTGGAACCTGATTTGGATGCCTGGTTGTGTTCTGAGAATAGACCAACTAAGATCTCCAGACTTTTATTATATCTCTAGTTCTTGACTTCTTGTCCACCGGGACAGCCAGGAGCCCAGTTGGTCAAGAAGTCAAGATCCAGAGGTACCAAATAAAAATCTGGAGAGCCATAAGGAAGGGGTCTGTTCTCAGGTGTTGGATGGCTTGGGCACCTTCTCCTAGTAGTTCCATGGTTATTTTGCCCCATGGTGACCTCTGACCTTCAAGGATGGGCCACGGGGGGGCTGGGCTCCTTGTTAGCTCTGTCATCCATCTTTCCATGTGTTGAGTTCTAATTTGCTCCTTGAATTCATATCCTAACTGGCTTTTCCATTTATTGTTAGATTATCTCTGATTATCTCTCTATGTGCAGAGGTGGGATTCAGCAGGTTTTGACCAGTTCTAGAGAACCAGTAGGTGGAAATTTTGAGTAGTTCAGAGAACCGGCCAATCCCACCTCTGACTGGCCCCGCCAATCCCATCTCTTCTCCGCCTCCCGAGTCCCATCTGATCGGTTGGGTCTTCTTTCGTTGCCCTGCAGAGGAGAACGGAGCTGGAAAGCAGGTTAGTGGGGTGGGGTGGGGAGGGAATGGGATTTTGCAGTAACCTTCCCCAGCCACGCCTACCAAGCCACACCCATCAAGCCACAACCACAGAACCGGTAGTAAAAAAAATTTGAATTCCACCACTGCCGATGTGCCGTGCTTTTCTATCTACTTCGTCCTAGGGGCAGGGCAGACTAGCCATCTAAGCGAATAAACAGCCTTAAATTAAGGACTAGGCCCTCTCAGAGGCGGCTCAGAAGACAATAATGAAGAGTGAAAATTGAACGGGGCCCTGAAACGATTTTAAATGGGCAAAATCCAGCTCTTTCAGCCTTCCAGAAACCTCATCGTCCTCTTTGATCTGAGCTGCGCACGTTGCCTGTAATTGCCCCTTACCACAGAAAACCTCCCTCTGTTGAAATACACACAGGTATTCCTTGCGTCGGAGTACAATGGGCACCTTGTTCCTGGGGGCTTTGGCCAGGTGGTCCTGGGGCTGTTTAGGTGGCACGGGAGGAGGTGAGGGATGGAGGGCGGCTTAGCAAGTCTCTGTGTCCCGATTCTCAGCTGCCTGTCAGAAAACCTGCCCCCCTTTTTGCTCCCTTCCAAGGCGACGTCTCCATTCAGCGCTGGCTTTCTACCCAGGTCTGCAAATTATAAGAGGCGGGGCTGGTGGCAATGCTATGATTTTCTGACGCCATCCATGCCCACGTCTCTCCCAGCTCCCATCATTCCTGTGGCTGGATATTTATTTGCAGTTCTCCAACGCTCTTGCTTGGGGAAGGATTTAATTACACTTATTGGACGGCATTGCTCTTCTGAAGGGTTGCATCTTCTGATTGCTTGTTTTTTCAGGAAAAAAGGGGGCCAGTCTGATGCCAGTCCTCAACTCTGGTTCCTTCTTGGGCAACAGGATTCGGCAGGATGGATGTGGCACAAAGGCGGGGAGATTGCATGGATGTGCTCAAGTTCTGTTTCTAGAGCTCTTCTTGATCTTCCAGCATGACCAAGTCTTCCAGTCCAGAGGGATGAGAGACAAAGCATCACCAAAAGGAAATGGAAACGAAGAGGTGTCTCCAGATAGGTGACACCGCATAGACAGACCGGTTGACATCAAGTCAACATCAACAAGTAGTGATCACCCAGAGAGACCTTTTCCAAGATAAGCCTGGTCACCTGCACCTCGAATAAGAACCTTGATTTGTTCCATGATCCATGTACTAAAGGTAGAGTTTTTCATTTTTGCAAATGAATCAGGAATCCAAGGTAGGGCTGCCAAGCTAGGTCATTGTGTGAACAGGAATGTCTTATTGCCAAGTCACATCTGCTGCAGTATTGCAAACATGGTCACCCCGGGCATAACGATTTTGTAGGCATGCAATTAAAAAAAAACATGTCCATGTTGCATGTAATATAATGGGATTCTAACAGGGAGTTGTTGCAAATAGCAATATGTTGAAGGCCACCCCCTTGGTTCCTCCTCTTTCTCCAAATTCAGCCAAATGATCAAATGGGGGCTTAAGACATCAGGCAGGTCCATGAATTCCATGGCAAGTGGAGCAGGCTAATCACAAAGGCAACAAGGGTTTTAAAGCACTCGGCAACTTTAAGACTTGTGGACTTCAACTCTGGCTGAGGAACTCTGGGAGTTGACGTCCAGAAGTCTTGCAGTTGCCAAGGTTGGAGACCCCTGCTTCAAAACACATCTGTCTCTGGACGCCAAGCTGCCATCCTCATGTTGACATCAGTTGCAACTCTCGTGTTTGATCAGGCCACGACATGAAGCAAAGCGAGCTAAGGGCGGGTAGGGGAAATGGGAGAAACCCATAACCGAGATGAATGCGCGGATGGCGTCTGGCGTTTCAGCTGCAGCTGCAGCTTAATTCCTTGTTTTTCTGTAGCCCTCGATGAAATAATAGGATTGGCTGTTGAGTTGCAATGGGGGGGGGGGGGACAAAATCCCATTTGCTCTGCAAAGCAGTTTATCATCCTGAAAAATAAGGGGGAGGGGACTATGTTAAGGGGAGGGGGAGAAAAGATAGAGCCATGACATGATTGCTCATTTCAGTGGCTTCGATTGACGTGGGCACAGCCAGGGATAATTTCCGAAGTATTAACCTTTGAGCAGAGCACAGGGGTGTTTTCCTTCTTTGGCCCCAAACAATGGGAGCCTTGTTTCCGGGGGGGGGGCTGTCAGCCAATGCCAGAGTCCAGATGCATGTCCAGGGTCTGCCCCAGCTGGCCGGTTCAGCCCCATGGCAGCTGCAGAATGAGTGCTGGCAATTAGCTGGCATCTGCTGCACCACGTTTACCAACCCCACGCCTGGAGAGTCAACGGCCATGAAGTCGGGGTCAGCAGAAAGGGAGGGAAGGGATGAGTTTAAGGAAGGGATGCTCCAGACCAGGCATTACACCCGAGAAGTCCCAGAATTCTAGACGTTGAAGTCCACAAATCTTAAAGTTGCCAAGTTTGGGGACCCTTGCCCTAGACCATTTGAGACAAGTGGCTGTCCAGTCTCTTCTTAAAAGCCTCCAGTGATGAACTGCTGGAATGAACTTCTGAAGCCATGAAATGGAATGGAATGAACTTCTGCAATGAACCACCGAAAACTCAGCAGCAGTTTTGGGGAATGGGTGAAGTGGACAGGTTTACATGGTTCCAGAGCAAAGCTCCATCAGATATTTTATGCCTTTGCTTCCCCAGTCCTATGGGGGTCCCTTCCCCCCCCCCCACAAGTTGATGATGAGCCGTTCCTAAATTGTGAGGGTCACCTTTGCATTTCAGATCTGGACTCAGATACAAGCTGGAGGTGTAGACCTCGAAAACTGTGTCCTCTCTTGGTGAAAGTTGACTGCCTTGGCTTGAATTGGACCGTTTGTCCATAAACCAGAGGGTGGCCTTTCATGAGTTGGCTGGGAGCGATGGGAAGGGGCATCCAGCCTGGGCAGAGAGTGCTGGATTGGGGGATCCTTGGGCGTGTGGTGCCTTAATAGAGACCTCTTTGCCCCCTGGCCAACGCCTGCTTTGCACCGTTGCAGCCAGAAGGAAACGTCACTTTGATCTTGAGTTAATGCAAGGCAAAGACCCACCTTGAATTTCTGGCCCTCCTTTGGGTCCGGCAGGAAAAAGCCATGCTTTCTTCACCTAGGGAAATGTAGAAATGGGGAATCCTGCAGCTGTGATTGGCTTGGCCCGAGCCAATCAGCTCCTTCCTTTCATTTGACTTGCTTCTCCCTCTCCTGCCAAAGTCAAATGCGCAGGGTGGCTGCCCTCTGCTGTGCCACTCCGCTGCGGCTGGATCTCTCCCCCTGGCAGCTCCTCTGCCTTCAGGGCAGGCAGAGCCTCCGCGAACCTGATCAGCCCAGGATGCAGCCTCTCTCCGTGGTGACATCACGGCCAGATGTTTGGCAGAGCCACACCCCCAGGGGGGTTTGAAGGAGCTCTAACAGGCTGGCTCACTTCTGCCGCCAGCATGCAAGGGGAGAGCAGCCGGAGGTGCAGCAAGCTTGCGATGGGGACGGTTTGCTTCCAGTGGCCAGCTGTTCTGCAGGGGGTTTGCCTGTCCTGATGTTTTCCCTGGGAGCCTTTCCTCTTGAGGAAGAGGGCAGCGGGGCGTGCCTTTTGCCCACGGAGTCCTTCTTGTGAAACCTGCTCTCTTCTCTTCTGCAAGGAAGATACCCCTGCTGAGCGTCTGGAGGTGGTTCTGCTTGTTGGTTTGTGGACAGAGCGGATTTGTGCACCCCACAAGAGGTGTGGGAAATGGCCACAGCTGCCTACTTCGCCGCAGAGTGCCTTGTCTCCATGTCCAGCCGGGCGATCATCCATGGTCCTGCCGAAGGACCAAGACCTCCTCCCCCTGTTGGGGTGGCTTCCCCTCTCACAGACTTGACTTCCAAGGAGAAACCTGAAGCGGGAAGAGACCACGGAGGGGGCACCTCGGTGTATGCCGTGGCCAGCATTTTGGCTGACTTAAACCGACACCTCCCCAAGTCTTCCTCGCTTCAGCTGGAGAAGGTCCAGAGGATGGAGCCAAAGGAGGAAGCCAGAGCTCCTCTTTTGCAAGGAACACTCAGCCGAGACCTTGTCATGCCAGCCAGCAACTGTGGAGGAGAAAGAGCAGCCACACCTACCAACTTGGCGGCCATCAACCAGCCCAGCCCGAAACAAAGGAGCAGGAGAGGAAGGTGCCAGCTTGACCCTGAATTACCTCAGAAAAAGCACAAATGCCACTATGTGGGGTGCGAAAAGGTTTACGGCAAGTCTTCTCATCTCAAAGCTCACCTGAGGACCCACACAGGTGAGCTCTCTGCTTGGTCGTGGTGGTGGAGGTGGTGGAGAAGGAGGAGGAGGAGGAGGAGGAGGAGGAACTGATGGATCTCTGGACTTCAGGCTTCCAAAACTGAAGTCCAGAGAGGTTGAGGAAAAAGCCCCTGAGAACTTGAGGCTTACGTAGATCTCACTGCTGGGGTTGCCCTTCATCAACCCATTGTTAATGGGTGCCGGTGGGGAATTGCTACCTGTCCCACTTTCCCCCCCCCTTTCTTCTCCCTCCTTCTTCCTCTTGCCAGGTTCTCACCTGATGGCCAGTTCAAGACCTTCTTCTGGCCCTCTGGCCCAGCAGAGCAGTTCTTTCTGAAGTTGCTAGTGCCTGGTTTTTTGTGTGTGAGAGACAGCAGCGTGCAGGGGGCATTTTAAGGCATGGAGTATTACCCACCTAACTCTTGGTAGCCTGAGGTTCCCTGTTGTACCCTTTGTGAGCACAATCCCAACTTTTTCTCCATTCCTCCTCCTTGCTGGATACTGTACAGTCTCGTAGTGGGGAGAGGGGGGACCTTCCAGAACCCTGTTATGGACTCAATTTTAATGCTAGAAAATGTCAAGGGGGCGGCTCCCTCGTTCCTAGTTAACCCAGGATGGGGGCTTCTTCTCCCTACATTCATTCTAATCAGGAAGACGGAGGTTGGAATGCCGGGAAGCCCCAAGTCTCTCCGTAAGTTTTGCCCCTGCTGAGAACCGGCGGCTGCTTTTCAATCTGTGCCTCCCGTGGACACGACCTTGGTTCGTTCACATCGGTTATTTGGTGGAATAACTTTGCATAATTCAGGGGCTGCCACCCAAGGAGTTGGGTAACGAGGAGCGGGAAAACACCTCCTTCACCTATTATGGGACACCACCCAGTCAGAAGTTGGCCTATCTGTGGGTTTAGCAGAGATACTTCTATATGGATAAGAATTAGGCTCCATGTGCGTGTTTTCTGTCCCCTATGCTCTGCTCTGCTTAATTGTGTCTTCCTTTTTTTCTTTTTCTTTCTTTCTTCCTTCCTTCCTTCCTTCCTTCCTTCCTTCCTTCCTTCCTTCCCTTTTTATCTTCTCTTTATCATTCTGTCCTTTTTCCCTCCTTTCTCCCTTTCTCATCTTCTTTCGTTTCTTCCTCTTTCATCTTCCCTCCCACTCCCCCTCTTCCTCCCTCCTTTCTTTCTTTCTTTCTTTCTTTCTTTCTTTCTTTCTTTCTTTCTTTCTTTCTTTCTTTCTTTCTTTCTTTCTTTCTTCTTTCTTTCTTTCTTCTTCTCTCTCTCTTTCTTTCTTCTCTCTCTCTCTCTCTCTTTCTTTCTTTCTTTCTTTCTTTCTTTCTATCTTCTCTCTCTCTCTTTTGCTAAAAGAAGGCCACTGTCTCCAAATAGGACCTTTTCTGCTCTCCGGTCCCTTCTTGATTGACTGGGTCCTGTAGTGATATCCTGTAGAATCTAACCTACCCCTGTAAATCAAGGCCACCCTTGGGGGGCATTTCCTCGCAAGGAGCCTTCTCTAGGCTATATATGTGATTTAAAAAAAAAAAACACCCACCCTGTCCAAAAGCCAAGAGTTCTTTCCAGCCAGGCCGCCTGGCTCTTACACTGAATGACGCTGGCCGGGCTGAACGGTGGTGCCACTTTCCAGGAAGGGTTGTTTTTCTTGTTTGCATTGTGTTTTCATCACCCTCCCTAACCGTAGCTTTCATGTGGAGGGAAGTTCACCCGTCCATCCCTCCCTCCCTCCCTCGCCACTCCGACTTGGCAGACTGTCCTCAAATCACGCCTTCTTCTTCTTCTGCTGCTGCTGCCGCCGCCTGAACTTCGTCTCTTTTGCTTCCTTTTAGACCCGGGAGACAAAGGGGGTTGAAGCTCGTAAACCCGGCTGGATAGAGAAGCAGTTGAAGGGTGGGGGTTGGGGGGGAAGGAGGAGAGCTTGGCAGCTGGTGCCCTGGGGGGAGAGGGAGGGTCGGGGCCCAACCAGTCCACGTCATTCAGGAGCCAGTTGGAGACACGAAAGTCAAACAGGGTCACTGGCTTCTTGCCACTTTCTTCTCTTGGTGACTGCCATTGGAAAGAGGTGGGCCTTCCCCTCGGCTCCTTGGTGTGGAGCTCAACCAGATGTGGTTGGGTTGACTTTGCCGTCCAAGGGCAAAGAATGAACAGGGCAAAAGGCGAAGGAAAGGGCACCCTCCACCTTCACGGGGCGTAGGCAGCTATCCAACCATTCGCGACGGATCCCCTTCCAAACTGAGCTCTTCCTACAAGGGAGGCTTCTCCAAAAGAATGCTGCTATTTATTGAAGCAAGGTTTTTATTTTCATTCAGTTGACATATTTGAAAGTTGCTTATGCTCCGCAAGTTTGAAGAGTGCTCGGCAATTCAACCATTTTAGTTAAAATGTAAACATACAACGTCGAGCAGAATCAGCATGGAAGAGGTATTTAAAAATCTCTGGTTTGGTGTTTTTTTTTGGAATGCAAATTATGATTAACAAACAATATCAGGTTTTGGACATGGAATACCATAAATCCCAGAGGCATAGAGGGGTGGAAAACCGATATAGAAAGTACAGAAAATCTATGACCATGTAAATAAAGAGGCAGGTACAATCAGAGGAGGATATATAGGGGGAAATTAAAACTACAATTCTATCAATCAACCTTTCTCCTCCTCCTCCTCCTCCTCCTCCTCCTCTTTCTTTCTTTCTTTCTTTCTTTCTTTCTTTCTTTCTTTCTTTCTTTCTTTCTTTCTTTCTTGCTTGCTTGCTTGCTTGCTTGCTTGCTTGCTTGCTTGCTTGCTTTCTTGCTTTCCTATTATGACATTTCAGTGTGGTCCATCATGAGTAGAGAGTGTTGTTTCCTAAGCAACTTTCTGCTGTATTAAATTACAGAATCTGCGGGATTGTAAACAAAGTGACACTTTGCGAAACAAAACAAAAATGACAACTTTTCTCCTACAACCGAAGTCTGGTTAGGACCAGCTAGATTCTAACTGAATTCCTCTTTGAGAACGACACGTTTTGAGAAAACTTGTAGGCTTCATTCCAACATCAACCTGAGCCTTGTTCCTTCAGGAAGTTGCATGGTTTTGCGTGAATCCAGGCCACGTCCTGGAGGTGTCCCCAAATGCACTTAGTAATGATGTAATAAGGGCACAAATGTTGACTTAACCCAAGCTTTGTTCTAAGGTTCTTGAAATAGGCACCTGCAGTTCTCCCTGAATCCCTTCCCTGCCTATTGACTTCTGCTGATCTGACTTTGTGTGCGCTGCAGCCCAGGCAACCCCAGGCTGCATCAACAGAGGGGTAGAATCAAGAGATAGACCAGTTTTGGTCACCACGATCCAAAAATGTTGCTGAGACTCTAGAAAGAGTGCAGAGAAGAGCAACCAAGATGATTAAGGGACTGGAGGCTAAAACATACAAAGAATGGTTGCAGGAACTGGGCCTGGCTAGTCTAGGGAAGAGAAGGAACCGGGGGTGGGTTGGGGGGTGGACATGATTGAAGTCTTCCAGTATTTGAGGGTCTTCCACAGAGAGGAGGGGGTCAACCTATTTTCCAAAGCACTTGAAGGCAGGAGAAGAAGCAACAGATGGAAACTAATCAAGGAGAGAAGCAACTAGAACTAAGGAGGGATTTCCTGACTGTGAGAACAGTCATCATTCTCACTATGGAACAGAAGTGGCCTTCAGAAGTTGTGGGGGCTCCATCACTGGAGGCTTTCAAGAAAAGGCTGGACAGCCACTTGTCTGAAATGGTGTGGGGTCTCCTGCTTGAGCAGGGGGTTGGACTAGAAGACCTCCAAGGTCCCTTCCAACACTGTTATTCCATTATTCTTCTCTACTGTCTTTCCGTCCACATGTGAGCAAAGTACAGAATAGACACAGGGCGGGTGCTGCATTTTAACAGCCAGTAGAAAACTAAGAGGACCTCTTCGAGTGTAGAAAGAGGGCTCGTAGAACGATTGAGGATGGCCAGACAGACCTGGAAGACAGACCTTCTACTTGCTAGACAGGTCTACTTCCTCTCCACCCACTTTTCGTTTCTCTCCGATTTTGGTGCTCACAAAATTATTTTGTCGCAACAAGAACAAAGAAACCTAAACCACATATGAAAAGCAGAAGAAAAAAAAACAGATCATAGGAAAATGAAAATGAAACTCTCTTGAAAGTATCAAGGGGCACAGAGAGCAAACAGAATAATAACTTTTTAAAAAAAACTTGAAATCATAAACCATGCACAAGTTCAGCTTTCATTTGCAAGAAAAAAGAACACATTCCTCATTTTACAGAGAGAATAATATGTCACCATGTAGATCTGGGGTCCTTGATAAAATCTTCAAAGTGGGCTTTTGATAACGATTCCCCCCCCCTCCCTTGGCTGTTTTTATTCTCAATAATGGTATGTGCGTTCAAAGCAGATTTACTGGGCGTACAATTGCGGTGGTTAGTTTTAGCAGATTTTGGGGTCTATCCTGTTGAGAAGATGTCCATGGAATATTTAAGAGAATGGGTGCCCAAGCTTGGTAACTTGAAGGTTTACGGATTTCAACTCCCAGAATTCATGCTGGGGAACTCTGGGAGTTGAAATGCAGAAGACGTCAAGTCTACAAGGAGAGAGAGGGAGGGAGGGGGGGGAGAGAGACAGAGAGAGAGAGACAGAGAGACAGAGAGGTGGTCTAAGGGAGCAACCAAATTCTCCCTGAAAAGAATTGGCTGTTCCTCCCTCTTCAGCCTGTTGTTGTGCAGGTGGGCATGCAAGAGAGCTGAAATACGATTCCATCCTGGAACATTATAAGTCACCAGAGCAGGCAGGAATTAAGGACATTTTAGGAGTGGTTTTTTTGGTCCACCCACAAGCAATAAGATTCCCCTTGCTCCTGTACCTACGTTGGCAGGGATGCTGCCAAGGGTTGCTGGAAGCCATTCAATGGGATTAGGAGAAGCCGAGCAGTGAGTGGGAGTGAAGGAAAAAGCATCCGCTCCCAGGAAGGCCAATCCAGGGGGTT